GTCTGTCTCTGGTCCCACTTGAGAGAAGGTTCTGCAAAGCCGAGCCTCTCGTATTTCACCTCCTCTCTCTCGCTCTCTTTCTTTTTTTTTTGTCCAATAAAGCATAATGCACCTCGACATTACAGTGATAGGCCGTATAGACATGCCCCTGTCGTAAATCAGTAAAAACCATACCCATGATCATGTAACTCAGACACAGCTGTCCATGCCCTGCTGAACTTCATCCATAAAAATACCAGCCCAATTTCCAAATAAATTGGACTTTTCCCTCCATGCTCCTAATGAGTTTTGTACCTATAGGATGTAGCCTTTTAACTCTGTTTCATGAAGCAAGGCAATGAGAATAATTTATATTTATTTCTGTACTTTTCAGAGAAACTTACTGAAGAAGTTGGTAAGTTTCAATTTCCCTTTTTCCACAAATACAATTTTTGACCACAGTCACACAACTGTATATAAATTTGTTGTTTTCTCTGATTTATTTTTACTTCTCTGTGTTTGTTGGGTTGAGGAGGGTTGATGTGTGTGTAATAGGTTGGACCATTTTAGGGCCTGTTTGGATGTTTCCAGAGACCCATTCCCCTTAAAAGTCCTTCCAAATAGGGGGTTGGATTTACATAGCTACATGTCTGAGGGGTGTAAGTTTTCAGCACAGATAAGCCCTCAGTCTCAGAGTCTTTCAAAAGAATCTAGAGAGGTCTGGCTTGTTCAGGAAGGTGTGATGAAGTGGGAATTTGATATCTATTTCTGTTTATGTTCTAGTGAAACGAGATCTAGAAATTGGTAAGTGTTTGTACACAATTGGATCCCCCTGTAGAAGTGTAATAGAGTCATTGGTGGGTTCGGTAGCCTAGTGGTTAACACACTTAGTGCCCCCTCACAGTGGGCAAGTCTTTCAGTTCTGGCCCTCTTTTAATCAGAGGGGCAGGAAGGTGGGTTTGTTTAGTCTGGAGAAGAGAGGACTGAGGGGGGACATGATAACAGTTTTCAAGTATATGAAAAATTGTTACAAGGAGGTGGGAGGTAAATTGTTATCATTAACCTCTGAGGATAGGACAAGAAGCAAGGGGCTTAAATTGCATTGAGGGAGGTTTAGGCTGGACATTAGGAAAAACTTCCTAACAGGTAGATGTGGAGATTAATGGAAGGAGGAGGCACACATCAGAGCCCTAAGGGGAGCTCACATTAGGGCCCTAGTGGGACTCTGGGTGATTGCTACTTCCCACCACCCAACACAGATGTAATGAGGTTGAGTAGTGTCCGCAAAAGAGAACTAAACAACTAATTATTCCTCAAGAAAGGTTTTTACGACTATAAAGGCAACACAGGCAGAATAAGAAAAACAGAATTTAAAGACCAGCACTGAGTGAGGATTAATACAAATGGCAAGTTATACTGGAGGCAAGCACACGTACAAGTAATATTATGCATTAACTATTAATTCCTATAAGAACATACGTAAAAGGCAAATAATATTGGAAATAGTTACAAGCACATGCAACGCTACTAATTTTGATTGCCTAGTAACCTTGCATGTACTGTAACCACATCCAACAAACACACCTTTACATGCGATACTAATACATTGATTAACCATATTTTACTAACCTTAACCTATCTATAACTTTATCTAACAACTTATAAACTTTATGATAACTTGATGATAACTTATACTGAAGACAGGCACAGCAACTTGCAAAGCCGCTATGATTTATAAACTACTAACTTTACCAATGCTATACCCATTTCCAGCAAGGCACAAAGCATATATAGTTACTATATATTGATTAACTATTGACTACTACTATTTTTAAACAACTTAAACTTAACCTATAGTATTAATACAGATTTAAGATTAACTAGCTCGAGCATAACCAGACCTTTTTAGTTTAAAATCTTACCCTGCCTTTGTCCAAAGATACGTTACCTTTAGTTGACCATTTCCTGCACTGGCCAGGCACAGATAGTCAGTGAAGCACAAGTCCCTTTGTTTCAGGGGGTGTATGTGAGCCTGACAAAGAGCGATTTCTTTTAGGTCAACACACACACACACACGCGCGCGCGTCTCTGAATCTTATTTATACGGTATTTGCTGGCCGTGTTTCAAAACAGGTCAACCAATCAAGGTGACCAAATGTTCTAGGGTGGCATTTGCAGTTGTTTTGAACTTATGAACTGTGCATCTGTGCTCATCTCATCTCTTTTTTTTAAGTGGCTAATTGTGGGCAATTTTCTAGACTCAAAAATGCTCGAATCAGCTTAAAGAGATATTTGTTTGCAGAGCATAGTAACCACAAGTCTGTATCTACCTTTACAGAGTTTCCTCTTAGGCTATAAAGCTTCCTAGATGGATTATGCTTATGCTTGCAGGATTCTACCGTACTCGCTTCTTACAACTTCCAGAAGGTTGAGACCTAACAGTACTTGACAAGACTTATACACATTAATCACAGCAGAGTAGGTCATAAATGAAATCGAATAAAGGAGGATGTGGAATCTCCTTCATTGGAGTTTTTTAAGAGCAGGTTAGACAAACACCTGTCAGGGTAGTCTAGAATAGATAATACTTAGTCCTGCCACAAGTGCAGAGGATTAGACTTTCAGTCTAATAGAATCACAGAGTTTAAGACCAGAAGGGATGACCAGATCATCTAGTCTGACATCCTTAAGAGGAAAATGAATAGAAATAGTTTCTAAACCTTAATTATCATATTGATGATAATGAGAAATAAAACAAAAACAAAAAGGGAAACTCCTAATGTACAATATGTGTCTTTCTGTTTAATTTTTAGGCAAACGAGATACAGAAGTTGGTAAGTGTCATTATCCTTCTTCTGACATGTGGGAGTTTGTTTAATTGTTGTGGAATTGGTCACTTTTCAATTTTTTACACTTCTGTTGCAACATTTAGCCTGATTTTGTTTGTTTGCATGTTTGCTTTTTTAATTATTGTTTCTTTATGGTTGGGGGATTACAGTAACGTGATAAAATGTGGGCAAGCACTAAATTGGATAGATTACAGACCAAAATTTAATTTGAAAAACTGATAAGCAATAGTCACAAAGTTTAAAACCAGAAGGGCCCACTGATCCTCTTGTCTGATGTCCGGAAGAGGAGGTTGATTTCTCTCACCCTTTACTGTCATATTGATGATAAAGAGAAATAAAACATAAGAAAATGTAAATGCCTAACAAAAATATATATTTATTTCTCTTTATGTTTTTAGAGAAACGAGATCAAGAAATAAGTAAGTGTCATTGTCCTTCCTCTGATAAGAAATTTTGTGTACCAATTTGTATCCTCATGTGGGAGTTTAATTGTGGTGGAGTTGTTTGTTTTCAAATGTAACTTTCAAAATTGTTGCAATATGAAATCTTTTACGTTTGTTTGCTTCTTTTTTATTATTACTATAATTCTTGTTAGAGTTTATAGGGGTTTGTTTTGTAATGTAACTTTATAAAACATGGGGAAAGATTAAAATGGATGCATTTCACAGCAAAAGCTAATGTGAAAAATTGATAAGCAATATAATAATAGAATCACAGAGTTTAAGATCAGAGAGAATGAGTGGATCCTCTTGTCTAGTGTTCCAAAAGCTGTGGGGTATGCCCTGCTAGGAGTGCATGAAGGAATGTTAGGGGGAGGGGGTACATGGCAGGGCCTAGCGAGCTGCCATGGGGCATGGGGAGGTACTGCCACCCAGCCCCTCTCTGCCCCAACTCCAGCTCCAATCCCATCCCAGCTTCGCTCGGTCCCCTGCTCTACCCCCAGCCCAGCTCCCACCCCAGTTACAGCTCCACTCCCCCGCCTGCCCTGCCTCCACCCCAACTCTGCCCTCAATCCCTCGCCACCCCCAGCCCAGCTCCACCTTTATTTCCAGCTCCTCCCTTATCTCCAGCTCTGCTTTCAGCCCAAGCTCCTGGACTCAGCCAACTGTTGTGTAATGGAGCAGGGAGGGGGGCCTGAGACAGACTCCATTACTGGTAAGTGGGGGTGTGAGAGGAAAAGTTTGGGCACCACTGGTCTAGTTTGATCTCCGTAAGAGGAGTTTGAATAGAAATAATCTCTCAGTCTTAACTGTCATATTGATGATAAAGAGGAGTTTTCCTTTTCTTGTTTTATTTCTAACAAACAATATGGGTATTTCTGTTTAATTTTTAGGCAAACGAGATATAGAAATTGGTAAGTGTCATTATTCTTCCTCTGACAATGATAATTTTTTTTTTTTTTTGTAAGTGGATCTTCATGTGGGAGTTTGTTGAAATGGTTTGGAGTTGTTTAATGTTAAATTTAACTTTTACAATTTTGTTGCAATACGAAGCCCCTTGTTTGTTTACTTGCTTTTTATTATTATTCTTTCTTGTGGGCTTTAATGTAATTGTATAAAGTGTGGGAAGTGCTAAATCTGATAGATTTCACACCAAAATGTCATTTGAAAAACTGATAAGCAATAGAGTCACAGAGTTTAAGACCAGAAGAGAGCCCTGGATCCTCTTGTCTGATGTCCTGAAAAGGAGAGAGATTTTTCTCTTTCCTTATGTTGTATTTCTCTTTATCATCAATATGACAGTGACAATAATATCTATTTATTTCTCTTTAATTTTTAGACAAACAAGATAAAGACATAAGTAAGTGTCATTATCCTTCCTATGACAAGAAACTTTTCGTACCAGTTTGGATTCTAATGTGGGAGTTTGTGTAGCAGTGGTGGAGGTGTTTGATTTTAAATTTAACTTAAAATTGCTACAGTAGGAATCCTTTTTTGTTTGCTTACTTTGTTGTTATTATCAGTCTTTTGGTAACGTGTGTGTGGGAGGTCAACTTTAATATAACTTTATAAAATGTGAGGAAAGACTAAACTGGATGAATTTCACACCAAAAGTTAATTTGAAAAATTGATAAGCAATACAGTTATAGAGTCATAGTGTTTAAGACCAGAAGGGATGACTGGATCCTCTAGTCCAGAGGTCTGCAGACTGTGGGGCAGGCCCCTGGGGCATGTGGAGGAATATTCAAGCGGGCGCAGGGCCGGATTAACTCTTCTGGGGGCCCAGGACTATTAAGAGTTTGTGGGGCCCCCTAGGCTCCGGGGCAGAGCCAAAAATGGGTGATTCAGAGTGCTGGAGGCAGCGGTGGATTGGGGCAGCGGGTGGGTGTGGAAGAGGGTGAGGGCTCTGACTGTGGGTGTAGGCTCTGGGGTACGGATGGGGATGAGGGCTTTCGAATGCAAGAGGGGGCTCCGGGCTGGTGCCAAGGGGATTGGAGTGTGGGAGAGGGCTCAGGGCAGGAGGTTGGGGGTGTGGGGGTCAGGGAGGGAGTTAGGGTGCGGGAGGGGGCTCAGGGCTGGGACAGGGGGCTGTGGTTTGGGGCACTTACCTGGGACAGCTCCCTTTTGGTGGCGCAGGCCCCAGGGAGGGAGGCAGGTGGCTCCGTGCGCTGTCCTGTGCTCGCATGTAGGCACCGCCCCCCACAGCTCCCACTGGCTGTGATTCCTGGCCAATGCAAGCTGTGGGGGCGGCGCCTGCAAGTGAAGGAAGCACGTGGACTGAGCTTCCCGACACTCGCAGCTCCAGCCCAGCGTGGGAGTGGAGAATGGCATGCCAGCGCGCAGATCCACCTCCCTGCCAATGCCAGGCTGGGCTAGAATGCAGGGACTTTAGTGGCTGCAGCCCACGGCCCCGGGCTAAGGGGGCGTCACAAAAATATCTGCACTTTTGGTGGTCTGGAGATCTTTTTGCAGGGCCCCCGTTTGCCTGGGGTCCTGGGCTGCAGCCCCTAAAGCCCCTTTCTTAATCCGGCCCTGAGCAGGTGCAAGGCAGGGTCCCTGCCAGTCCCCATGGGAAGAGGGG